CTTCTTCCTAACAATAGCAGAACAGGACTGATAACAATAATTAAAATTAAAAAAAATAAAGAAGATGCCTGCAGAGGCCATTCTGAATGCATTGAAATACTCAATGTGTATGGAGAAAGCTGCCTGTAATTAAGAGGTGAAGAAAGTATAGCATGGAGACGTTGATGCCACTGAACACAAGAAACAGATCTGTTGTTGCATATCCACTGTGGGTGCAGACAGAGATTTTACTTTAGGTCTTTCCTTTTCAATGCTGAAACCCTTTTTATCATGGAAAATCTGCCTCTCTTAAATAGCAGCAACAGAATGAGAAGAGTTTGGTTCTTCCTACCCAGATCTGGGGAGGTAGCTAAAGGTAGAAGCATTTCTGTCTCCAGGCCCTTCTTCACATAGGTCAGTGGCAAACATGCTCCTTAGTAACCTAAAATGGCTCTTAAATATAATAATAATAATAATAATAATAATAATAATAATAATAATGGCTAACACCGAGATAGCACTTATTATACTGCTAGACATTAGTCTAAGATATAGATATACATACAGATAACTTATTTAATCCTTAAATAACCCAAGGAGGTAAATACTATTATTAATCCTCTTTTAAAAGAGGAAACTAAAGCCTAGAAGAGTTAAGTAACTTGTTCAAGATCATATAAATGGTAAGTAACAGGGCTAGGATTTTGAACCCAGATAGTCTGGTTTCAAAGTTCATTCTCTTAACTGATATACTGTACCATCTCTCAGTGGAGCCCTGTCCTTTCTCATACAGGTTCATCTGAATCATAGACCACAGAAAGTGATTTCAGTGACTGTTTTCTTAATTTTCTCTAGAATGGTAACATAGCTAGTACTATGCATGGGAAAGAAGTTAATTCATTAAGAACTGTTGATGTCTAAGAGTATTAGGACTTACTTCTTGAGGAAACCTAGTTGAGAAAGACTAAGGAACTGTAGTTCACAAATATATTTGTACAGAACTATTCTGGAGCTAATTTACCATTGGTTTGTTTTGGAACCAGTTTTGGACTCTGAACCTCATATACCCCGTGCTATAGAGATAAAGCCTTCGCCAGTGGTAATATCTTACCATTAACAATTGAGAAGAGCAAGAAATCGGGATATGACAGCGGTTACTAAGATTTGCCAAGCTGAGGTGACTTTCAGCAAATCAGGTTGTCAGACCACTATTTATTTATAGAAGTAGTCACTGCTTCTTTTATCACCTTCATTTTCCTTTGTTTCTTCATATTCCCCTAAGTTTCAAAGACACATAGGTAAGTGGCAGATGTCCAGGTGCCCTCTGGGAGTGTTTAACTATGGACTTGGACCTTCCTTTTGGTCTGGTTTAAGAAGTCACTTGTAGATATTCTTCTGCTGCCAGCAAAAAATTATGGAAGGGCCTGCCCTGCCTTTATCTGATCTTATAATAGACTTGTGAAAAAATTTTAGGTTAATCCAAATAACTTGGAGTAATTATAATAGATTTTCTTCCCAGCTCCTAGCTTATTAAATAATACTAAATATGTATTACTGGTACTGCTTCCTCCACAGCATAAATCATTGGTAGGGAAGTAATAGCAAGTTACAGAGTGTGTATGAGGAGAAATGATGCTAGTAAGAGATTAGAATGGGGAAAACAGTTCCTACTTGAAATGAGCAGAAGGAGGTTCCATTTTGCTCTAACCAGTTATATTACCTAAAGAAAAATGTTCACCTTTTCTAGCTAATTTCTTATCTGCTTAAAAAAAGAGTCCCTGGCCAGTTTGGCTCAGTGGTTAGAGCATCGGCTTGTGGACCAAAGAGTCACAGGTTCGATTCCAGTCAAGGGTGAATACCTTGGTTGCAGTTCTGTCCCCAGCCCTGGTCGGGGTCGTGTAGGAGGCAACCCATTGATGTGTCTCTCTCACATCGATATTTCTCTCTCTCTCTCTCTCTCTCCCCCTCCCTCCCTCTCTATCTGAAAAATATCCTCAGGTGAGGATTAAACAAACAAACAAAAAAAGAGAAAGGGACTTAATCATATCGTTCCTTAATACCCATATCACATGATTCATTAATTTGTTCATTCATTCATTTATTGATTTAACACTAGTTATTGGTTGCCTTTTGTATGCTAGTACCTTTCAAGGTACTGGGAGTACAACAGGGAATTAAAGGACAGAAATTTCTGTCCTTATATTCTAGAGAGTGCGATGAGACAGTAAGTATGTAAAATACATGTTATGACAGATGATAATACATGCCAGAGGGAAAAATAAAACTGGTAAAGGTGGGAGGTTTGGGCAGAGGGGGTGAAGTTTGCTATTTTAAATAGGTCGATCAGGCCGGTGGTGTGGCTCAGTGGATTGAGCATTGTCTCATGGACTGAGGGGTGCCAGTTCGATTCCCAGTCAGGGCACATGCCTAGGTTACAGGCTCAGTCCCCAGTGGGGTACGTGCAGTGAGCAGCCAATTGATGTATCTCTCTTACATTGATGTGTCTATCTTTGTCTCCCTTCTCTCTCTAAAAAATCAATAAAAACATTTTTTTTAAAATAGGGTAATCAGAAAATACTATATAGTATTTTTATCAAAATACTATATTTTGATAAAATCCTAAAGGGAATGAGTGACTGAGTTACTGATAAGTCAAATAAAATGAGGACCAAGAATTGATCATTCTAGGTTGGTGGGGCTTTCTATTTTTATTTTTTTATTTTATTTTATTTTTTTTATCCTCACCCGAGGATATTTTCCCATTTTTTGTACAGATAGAATGGGAGGGAGAGAGAGGAAGGGAGAGAGAGTGAGAAACATTGACGTGAAGGGACACATCGAGTGGCTGCCACCCACACGACCAACCAGGGCCGGGGACAAACTGCAACCGAAGTACGTGCCCTTAGCGGGAACCGAACCCGGGTCTCTCCGGACCGCAGGCCGACGCTCTAACCGCTGAGCCAAACTGGCCAGGGCGGGCTTTCTATTTTTAAATCACACAGGTAGGTTTATAAAGTGTTCTTATTTCTGGTCTCATTTGTAAGTCTGAAAAATGATCCTGGGATTTAATTTTTATACATGTTTTCTTTTCTTTACTGATTTTTTGGAGAGAGAGGAAGGGAGAGGGAAAGAGAGATAGAAACATTGATGAGAGAGGACATCGATTGGCTGCCTCCTGCATGCCCCGCACTGGGGATTTGGGCCACAACCTGGGCATGTGCCCTGGCCGAGAATCGAACCGGCGACCTCTTGGTGCATGGGTCAATGTTCAACCACTGAGCCACACCGGCTGGGCATACCCTGGAATTTTTTTTTTTAATCCTCACCCGAGGATATTTTTACATTTATCTTTAGACAAAGTTGGAGGGAGGGGGAAGGGGTGGGGGGAGAGAGAGAAAGACATCGATGTGAGAGAGAGACATCAACTGGTTACCACCCATACGACCTCAACCAGGGTCGGGGACAAATCGCAACCGAGGTATGCGCTCTTGGCCAAAATCAAACCCGGGACTCTCTGGTCCTCAGGCCGACGCTTTAATCGTTGAGCAAAACCAGCCAGGTCTACCCTGGGATTTTTTTTTATATGAAGAAATTACTAACAGTAATTTCAAGCGAATGACATTCTTTGGCCTGTTATGTAACTCATTGATGAGTGAATTATTTATCTGGGTAAGGATATGGGGCATGAACTACTCAGTCAAGGAGCACATTCAATATCAGATGAGGACTTATCAAGCCAGGTGCCACTTGTTGCCACTCTTTGTTTTCATTGTATGGACATAACATTCATCATTGTTTCAGATGTAGGTAAAGATGGAGAAGATAGATACATTTAATTACACCAAAATAAACAACAGTTGCACATAAAAGACACCAGAGACTGGAATAAGATATTTGTCACAGTAATACAAAGATCTAGAAAAATCAAATGTAGCTAGAAAGACTAAAATGAACCAGTCTGATTGTATTAATTGCAGACAAGGATATGGGGACATTTATATTCATTCACTGGTAGTAGTATAAGTTTGCATAGATTCTTTATAATAGCAAGAAATTGGAGACTGCCAAACTGTCAATAAAGAAATGGATAAATAGATGTGGTATTGTTACCTGATAAAATACTGTACTGCAGGGAAAAGGGATAAACCAGGTATGTATATTACATCATTATGGGTAGATCTCAAAACAGTGCTGACTTTTTTAAAAACTAAAATTTAGTGTGATACTTTGTACACGAACAAAAGTGTATGTGTGTGTATACAGGGTATGGCAAAAGTAGGTTTACAGTCATGAGTATGTGAAACACACTTATATTTTTATTTATTAATTATTGTATTAGTTTCCATACGAACAACTGTAATCCTGTTTTTGCCCCACTCTTTTTATATATCCCTAAATATACATAGTGTGTGTTTGTATAAATATTAACAAAAGATTATGCAACAAACTCATGATAATGAGTGGTAGAGAATCGGCATTCTTAAATAAACTGTAGCTTTATCTGTAGGTTAGAAGTAAAAGTGATGGAATGTTTATTTCTAGGTGTTAGACATGTAGGTGTTGTATTATTCTTTGTACTTTTAGATAATTTTGGATTAGCTAAACAATTTAAAAGAAGGGGGGTCAAGTTTTATAGAACAAGCCCTCAGATAATAATTTACTAATCTATTTACATATAATTGATCTTTATTTACTATAGACCATCCACCTCTATCTATATCTGAGGAAATGAGGTGACTGAATTATATTAACTCATGACAATGGCCTCTCCTAATGTGTCCTTGATGGTATCATACTCAGTTGGAAGATCAAGGTTCCTTATTCTTGTTAGCACAGGATCATGCCTCTTATTCTGACTCCTCGTTTTTTACATTTTTATTACTAACTGCAAGCATATCGATTTGTAGGAGGTACATTTGGTTCCATAGCTATGAACATGGAGGCTAGCATGACATACTGGGATGTTTAGAAGCTTAATAACAGCATTGTGCTTTTCCCCTTGTTGAACCTCTTCCCTACAGGGAATCTTTAACCAATTCCAGTGTAGTAGTGAAAAAGTGCTTCCATCTGACACTCTCCGCAGTGCTCTGGCAAAGACTTTCCAGGATGAACAGCGTTTCCAACTGGGAATTATGGATGATGCTGCAGAGTGCTTTGTAAGTGCTGGCCTCTGGCCCTCTTTGATCTGGGGTGGGACTGTTGATGGTCTCCATCAGGGTCTAGCTATTGTACTGTGGTCATTTACTGTGCCCCTGGTCTCTAGTTAGAACTAGAATTTTCCTAGTTTCTCAGAGCTCTAGGGTATTTCTGCCATTGCAGTATGAATAGCCTCATAGGTTTACTCTTTTTCCTCCAGGTTAAGGGTAGTTTTGTGTTTGCCATTGCATAAAACAGTGGCTCTCGCCTTCAGAAGAGACAGGGCTCATTAAAATACAAATTGCTGGGCCCTATCCCCTTGAGTTTCTCATTCAATAGTTCTAGAGTAGGGCCCAAGAATATCTACCTCTGATAAGTTCCCAGGTGATACTAATACTAATGCTACTGGTTTGGGGACCACACTTGAAAAATCCCTGGATTACTAAAGATAATTAAACAGAATAACTGAGTTCTTAGCACAAGTGTAATGTGCTATTTAGATAACTACGTTTCTCTCACTGACATTTAGTAGAAGACCCTAACTCTTCTGAACTCTGGGTTCTAGCCATTAACCTTCAAAAGATGGTGCATCAATTAAAAACTGCAGAGAGAGTCGCCCTGGCCGGTTTGGCTCAGCGGTTAGAGCATCGGCCTGCAGTCCAGTGAGACCCAGGTTTGGTTCCTGCTAAGGGCATGTACCTCGTTTGCAGTTTGTTCCTGGCCCTGGTTGGTCGTGTGAGTGGCAGCCACTTGATGTGTCCCTTTCACGTCGATGTTTCTCTCTCTCTCTCTTCCTCTCTTTCTCTCCCACTCTATCTGAACAAAAAGTGGAAAAAGATGTCCTCGGGTGAGGATTAAAAAAAAAAAAGAAAATTTATGTTCATATAAAAACCTATACATGAATATTCATAGAAGCTTTATTCATAATTTTCCCAAACTGGAAACAACCCAAATGTGTTTAATGGATAAATGGTATTACAAACTGTGGTATATGATGTAATGATAAAAAGAATGAACTCTTGATTTATGTAGTCTTTAGATGGATTTAAAGGGAATTTTGCTGAGCCCTGGCCGGGTAGTTCAGTTGGTTAGAGTGTTGTCTCAGTATGCCAAGACAGCAGGTTTGATCCTTGCTCAGGGCATATACAGGAATCAACCAATGAATGCATAAATAAATGGAGCAACAAATCTATGTTTTTCTTTTTCTCTAAAAATCAATCAATAAAAAAATTTTAAAAAGGGAACTATGCTGAGTAAAAAAAATATCAAAAGATTATATATTGTATCATCCCATTTACATTGCATTTTAAAAATAGCAAAATTATAGAGATTGACAAATAGATTAGTGTTTGCTAGGGGTTAGGGTTGGAATTGGGTGGGTAAGACAATACAAGAATAGCGTGAGGGAACCTTGTGGAACAGTTTTATATCTTGATTGTGGTTATGGTTACATGACTCTATACATGAGATAAAATTGTATGAAGTTACACACAAACAGAAATGAGTGAAACCTGAATAAACTCTGGATTGTATTGATGTCCATTTACTGGTTTGGATATTGTACTGTAGTTGTGCAAGATGTTACCATCGCCCAGCCAGTGTGGCTCAGTGGATTGAGTTTCGTCCCGTGGACTGAGAGATCTTGGTTCGGTTCCCAGTCAGGACATATGCCTAGGTTGTGGGCTCGATCCCTAGTGGGGGCTTGTAGCAGGCAGCTAATTTATGTTTCTCTCTCACATTGATGTTTCTCTCTCTCTCTTTCCCTTCCCCTCTTTCTAAAAAAATCAATAAAACATTTTTTTAACTCATCGTTATTGTTGAATGTATTACAGATATCCCTCCCTTTTTTCCCCCCATTGACCCCCTCCTCTCCAATCTTGCCCCCTTCCTTCCTTCCCCACACTATTGTCTGTGTCCATTGGTTATGCATATATGCATAAAAGTTCTTTGGTTTACCTCACCCCATCCTCCCTCACCCCTTCCCTTTGAGTTTCATCAGTCTAACAACCAATTTGTGCTTCTTAATTCCTTCATCTTTTTCACCTATCCCCCCAGTCCCCGCCCATCTGGCAAGCAACAAAAAGTTCTCAGTATCTATGAGTCTGTTTCTGTTCTGCTTGCTCATTTTGTTTGTAGATTCGATTGTTGATACATATGTATTAATTGCAGTTTTATTGATCATATTTTTGTTCTTCTTTTCCTTCAAGAAGACTCTTCAGCATATCATATAATACTGGTTTGGTGGTGATGAACTCCTTTAGCTTTTTCTTGTCTAGGAAACTCTTGATATGTCCTTTGATTCTAAATGATAGCTTTGCAGGACAGAGTAATTTTGGTTGTAGGTTGTTGCTTTTCATCACCTTGAATATCTCTTGCCACTCCCTTCTGGCTTGCAAAGTTTCTTTTGAGAAATCAGCTGACAGTCTTATGGGAACGCCCTTGTAGGTAACTAACTGCTCTCTCTTTGTATTTAACCTTTGGCATTTTGATGATAATGTCTTGGTGTGGACCTCTTGGGGTTCATCTTGTTTGGGACTCTCTCTGCTTCCTGGACTTGTATGTCTGTTTCCTTCACCAAGTTAGGGAAATTTTCTGTCATTATTGTTTCAAATAGGTTTTCAATTTCTTGCCCTCTCTCTTCTCCTTCTGGCACCCCTATGATGTGAATGTTGGCACACTTAAAATGTCCCAGAGGCTCCTTACATGATCCTCATTTTTTTGGATTCTTTTTTCTTTTTGCTGTTCTGATTGGGTGTTTTTTGCTTCCTTATATTCCAAATCAATGGTTTGCTTCTTGGTTTTACCTACTCTACTATTGGTTCCCTGTAAATTATTCTTTATTTCAGTTAGTGCCTCCTTCATTTCTGACTGGTCTTTTTTTGTGTTGTTGATGTTCTCACTAAGTTCCTTGGAAGTCTCCTTAAGTTACTTGAAGGTCTTACTAAGTTCCTTGAATGTCTCACCAAGTTCCTTGAGCAACTTTATAACCTGTGTTTTGAACTCTGCATCTGATTGATTATCTCCATTTTGTTTAATTCTTTTCCTGAAGTTTTGTTCTGTTTTTTCATTTGGAACATGTTTCTTTGTCTTCTCATTTTGGCTGTTTCCCTGTGATTGTTTTTATATATTAGGTAGAGTTGCTATGTCTCCTAGGGTGGCCTATGTTGTAGATGTCCTATAGGATCTAGTGGCACGGCCTTCTTGGTCACCCCAGCTGGACCCTCGAGGTGCACCCCTAGTGTGGACTGTACAACCTTCTGTTGTAATTGAGTCTTTCTTGCTGTTGGCATGTCAATGGGAGGCTGATCAGCTGTAAGGACTGGCTGTGCCCACTGACCACTGGCCTCTGAATACTTTGGAGGATCAACTGTGTAGGGGCTCACCACTCAGAGCAAGACTTAGTTCATCAGGGCTCTGGTACCCACTGAGTTCGCTCAATGAGTGTGTCACTTGCGGAGGTGGTCGGCTGGTGGTGTTTTGATGTGGTCTGAAGCTGTCCGCTGGGTATGCTGGCTCTGGGTCAGCCCCTACCTATGTTCTATCTGGGGCCACCTGGAAGAAGCTATAAAATGATCTGCAGATGGTTGCTTCTAGTGCTGGGCTTGGAGGTACCCAGGAAAATCCAAGTTGTGAGCCAAGGCTGGTTGCTTCTAGTGCTAGGCCTGGGGCCACTTAGCAAGAGGCATGGGGCTCGCTGAGACCAGGTGCTGCTTGTTTGAAAGATTTTAGGAAACTCTGAAGCAGGATCCCAGACAGGCCAATCCTATGGTAAAACCTTTGGAAACAGCTTGGATGGGCCTGAACTTTGGGTGGGGCGGGGCCTCAGGGAATCACCAGGGACAGGCAAACAGTGTGAGCCAGGTTGCTGGAGTCCCAGATATCATGGCCATCTGCCACCCCAGATATGGTGGCCATCTGCTCACCAAAGGAACAAAGGCCTCCAGTAGCACGTCTGTTCAGGAGAAAGCCGCCTCTCCAGCCCTCATCTGGAGGTCAAACAGCTCAGTTCTTCCCTGTATGTCTCTATTGCCCCTCAAGCTGCCTCCCCTCCAAGCTTAGAGGGAGCAAGTCCGAGTAAGTCCATGCATGGGCCCTTTAAGACGAGCTGCCTGGGGCTTCAGCCGCCTCAGCCTCCCTGAGCCTCAGTTCCCACTGGATTTTCCAGCCAGAATTTAGGGGACTTCTCTTCCTGGTACTGGAACCCTGAGCTGGGTGCCTGGTGTGGGACAGGGACTCCTTACTCCTCATGGTGGACCTTCCCAGCTGAGGTGTCCCTCCTGATTTTTATCGCCTACACGTAGGTGTGGGACCACCCCATCCGCGCCTCTGCCCTTCCTACCAGTCTTGGTGTGGTTGTTTCTTTAATTTTATAATTATAAGACTTCTATTCAGCTCAATTTCAGGTGGTTTTGAATGATGGTTGTGCTTTAGTTTAGTTGTAATTTTGATGTGGCTGTGGGAGGAGGCAATACTACGTTTACCTATTCCGCCATCTTGACTGGAAGAGAGAAAAACATAAATTTTTTAAAAGATGTTACCATTGAAGGAAACTGGGTGAAAGGTCATTGACTTCCTATACAATTTTGTTTTTGAAACTTGAGACTTTATAGTTATTTCAAACTAAAGAGTTATAAAAATCAGAAGTATTTCTATCTTTCAGGAGGATTGCTATTTCTGAGTAAACTGACAACCAATTTGTATGTATGTCTGTAAAGTATTATTGATATACTGCTTTTGTTCTTTCCCTATTAGGAAAATCTGCTGATGAGACTTCACTTCCATATTGCTGATGAAACCAAAGAGGATATATGTACTGCCCAACACTGCATCTCCCACCAGAAATTTGCAATGACATTGTTTGAACAGGTGAACCTTCTCTGTATACTCATCACTTAGACCTTTTCTTCAAGAACATTTTATCCTGGGATGTGGGTGTCAAATGAGTGCCAAAACAGTTAATGACTACGGCTTCTTGATTTTGCTTTTTTCTTCCTGGGCCCAGTGTGTATGTACCAGCTGTGGCGCCACTTCTGATCCGCTGCCTTTCATCCAGATGGTGCATTACATCTCTACCACTTCCCTTTGGTGAGTCTTACAGATTCTCTGTACCCATAGGCACTCTTTTAGTTTATTGGGTTTTAACTGAAGGCATCCAAATACCTTATATCCTTACTGCTGAGTCTATGCTATTTAGAGGAACTCAGAACCATAATTTTAAAATAACCTTTGTTCTTCTTTTCCAACCATCTTTTTTTCTTAGGCTCAGTTCTGGCCAGCAAAGTGGGAAGAGGAATGGGGATTTTATGAGCTTTGCATTTGGGGACAGTCAGAGGCACTCACTGTATTTGTAGGACACTGAGGCTGGTCAAGACAATGAGCTTTGGTTTAGTGGACAGAGAAAGGAGGTCAAACTTGTGAGTTAGGGGTTTACATAAATGATTTATTTGATACAGCTGTAACTCATCATCATCCTCCATTTTAATCCTCTCTTGAAGCAATCAGGCTATTTGTATGCTGGAAAGACGGGAAAAACCCTCACCAAGCATGTTTGGTGAGCTGCTCCAGAATGCCAGCACCATGGGGGATCTCCGGAACTGTCCCGTGAGTTAATTCAGTGGTGGGGCTTGGAGTGGGGAGGAGAACCCAGAGATTAGTAGAATTGAGGCAGAGCCAGTGAGAAACATGTCAAACTAGCCTTATATATGTATTTCAGAGCAACTGTGGAGAGAGGATTCGGATTCGCCGTGTATTGATGAATGCTCCACAGATTATCACAATTGGACTAGTATGGGACTCGGACCACTCAGACTTGGCGGAGGATGTCATTCATAGCCTGGGTACCTGCCTTAAGTTGGGTGATGTGAGTGTTAGTTTAACTCGGACTTAGAGTTATTGTGTCTTATTCTTGCTCAAGATTGTGAACACTGAACACAAAGGTATATCCTAAATGACAAATATTTTGGAGTTTTAGACAAACATACTTGTATACAGTAATCCCCCTTTATCTATGGTTTTGCTTTGTGTAGTTTCACTAACCCACAGTCAACCATGGTCTGAAAATATTAAATGGAAAATTTCAGAGGTATACAATTTGTAAATTTTAAGTAGTATGTGGTTCTGAGTATTGTGATGAAATCTCACCCTGTTTTCACTCCCTGCTTCCTTGCAGGTGAATAATTCCTTTGTCCAGAATATCCACACTGTATATGTATATGTATATGTATATGTATATGTATATGTATATGTATATGTATATCCACTGCAGTATTGCAGTGTTTGTGTTCAAGTAACCCTTAAAGTAGCCTAAAGTTACATCACAATGCCTACGTCATTCATTTCATTTCATCTTATCAAGTAGGCATTGTATCATCTCTCATCATCACAAGAAGGGTAAGTACAGTACAATAAGATTTCAAAAGAGAAAGACCACATTCATATAACTTCTATTACAGTATATTATAATTATTCTATTTTATTATTATTGTTAACCTTTTACTCTGCTTAATTTATAAATTAAACTTTATAGGTATGTGTATATAAACATTGTATATATAGGGTTTGGTACTATCTACAGTTTTAGGCATCTGGTGGGGGAGGGTGTCTTGAAATGTATCCCCTACATTAAGGAGCACTACTGTATATGTGTGCACATATATGTGCATGTATGTACATGCTCACTTACCTTTTTTGGATAGGTAGCAAAGGCTTTTTATAGGAAATGGGATGACCTTGGCCTTGAAAGACAGTATAGACAGAACTTAGGTACTGGTAAAAATCATGCAATTTATAGAGTTATTGGGTGCAGTACTCACTGTTAGTTTATACTAGTGTAGAATAGGGAGTTGTATTCAATCATGGGAGGCAATAAGATCAAAGAAGTGAGCAATTCTGACTAGAGCTACTTTGGGAGGTGAAGAAGGTAAAAGTAGGTGCAAGAGAACCAACATCTGTTGAGAATGTAATGAAGTAGTTTGGAAGATAATTTAGTGGCTAAGTGTTTTTTTCATGAATGTATTTAGGAAAATAGACAGGGAAACAGACTTTAGACCTGGGGGCTTAGCCTTACCATCTCTATGCCCTAGTGTAGGTACAGGCATGGTTTTCCTTCCATTCAAGAGAAGAACCAGAGGCTCTGTGGTTTCCTGTATATTAGTTTTGCTCTGGGTTAGTCTTATGAATAAGGAGTTTACTTATTATTGTTTCTTACTATCATTAAGCCACTACTGAGAATAAATGAACTATTTGGGATCTTATTTTAGGTCTTCTTCCCAAGGAATCTCTGACATGAGTAGGCTATGCATAACAGAATCTCTTTTTTCTAAAATTCTGTGGCTTACCTATTCTGTACTGTTCTAGTTTTATTTTTATGATTGTTTTTTCAACCAAATAAGTTCCTCAAGGCAGTAATCTCCTCCCCTTCCTCCCCTTCCCCCTTCCTTCTCCTTCTCTTCTTCCCCTTCCTCACCCTCCTTCTCCTCCTCCCCCTCTTCTTTTTTATGTCTCTTGCACCTAGGACAGTGTTAGACATCTAGGAATTGAAATGCTGGTAACCAGCATGGTGGTATTGCTTCTCCTGGAGGCTTTCTTACTCCCTACGTAGGGTCTCAGCAGGAAATTTATAGTTGTGGTTCTAGCTGATAAATAACTTGTGAAACTTGAGAGTTTTTGTTTTGTTTAGGTTTTTCAACTTTTTCTGGCTCCTCTTATGATTGACCCTTTCAAAAAAATATTATTGAAAGTTGTGAGGAAACATCACCACCTTACCAGTTACTGGCCACTATCTGTCTTGCTTTTCCCTACATTTTGCCTTTTTAGGTTCATTTCTTATGATTAATAAGGATTAGCAAAATATCTTATACTGAAGGGCAGAGGGGCAAGTCAGTACCTTAATAAAATGATGGAGTTAGTCTGCTGACAAATGATGTGAGAGGGTTATGTCATTGTTCTTTCCTTTCTCTTCATTTCCAACAGCTGTTTTTCAGAGTGACAGATGACCGGGCCAAGCAATCTGAACTGTACTTAGTAGGAATGATCTGTTACTATGGCAAACATTACTCTACATTCTTTTTCCAAACAAAGATCCGCAAGTGGATGTATTTTGATGATGCTCATGTCAAGGAGGTATGAATTTTCAAGCCCTTCTTAAAGTGGTTAGTGACTGCCCTGGCTGGTTTGGCTCAGCGATTGGAGCATCAGCCTGAGGACCAAAGAGTCCTGGGTTTGGTTCCCGCTAGGGGCATGTACCAAAAATAAATAACTAAATAACTAACTAGAGGCATGTACCAAAAATAACTAACTAAATAAATAAATAAATAAAATAATAAAATGGTTAGTGACTGCAACAAAAAACTAAGGATAATTATTTGTTTTCAGTGTTTCATTTTCAGAATTTTAATGTCTGTCTATCTATTGAATTTATGAGAGTATTAGTTTTCCCCAATAAATGGTAAGTTCCTCGAGGACAGGATGAATATATCTTCTATTATTTTCTCTAAATGCCCTCACATGGCATTCAGCACAGTTATATATTTATAGTCAACAAATTATTTTTTTAAATGTTTTTATTGACTTTTTAGAGAGAAAGGAAGGGGGAGAGAAATAGAAACATTGATGTGAGAGAGAAACATCAATTGGCTGCCTCCTTGCACACCCCTAGGTATTGGGCCTGAAACCTGGGCATGAGCCCTGACTGGGAATTGAACTGGGACCGCTCAGTCCATGGGACATTCTTCAATCTACTGAGCCACACCTGCCAGGGGACAGAGTTTTCTTTTTTTTAATGTGTTAATTGGTTGATTTAAGTGACAACAGTCTAATGACTCAGATTAGGTTATAAGGTTAGCAGAAAGTTCAGAATTCCAAATCTGGGAATTATTAGTGGATAATACTTTGTCTCAGGGCTGCTATAAAATATTCTCTGATTGTTAGCTCCCTGAAGTACCCTGTCACAGATTAACATGTTTTTGAGATAGTGTAGAGCAAATAGGGCTATGATGATATTTAGAGCTGGAAATTTGGTACTATCTAAACCATAGAGTCCGGATAAAATAGTTTAGATGATTTGTATGAGTTAGAAAGACTCTTGTGATTAGGTTAGCAGCTAGGAGACTGCTTAGACATTCTGTACCAATCCATGAACCTTAAGCAGCATCTTCCACATATAGTAGTCTGTCAGATTTTCTAATTCTCTTCTCCATCTCAATTTTGCTATTGTAATTTTGGGCAGCATATAAATTCTTTGAGCTTTAGGTTTTGCTTTGTTTTAATTTTATTGACTTTGAGAGAGAGAGAGAGAGAGAGAGAGAGAGAGAGAGAGAGAGAGAGAGAGAAACATCAGTTTGAGGGAGAAACATCAGTCAGCTGCTTCCCATACTGCCCCAACCAGGGATGGAACCTGCAACCTGGGTACGTGCCCTGACCAAGAATCAAACCCGTGAACTTTCAGTGTACTGAACAACTCTCAAACTAACTGAGCCACACTGGCCAGGGCTAGGTTTTTTATTTGAATAATAATACATGAATTTAAGATATTAAATAAAATTATATAAAAGGCATATAAATGTTTTAGTTAAAATAATAACCCAGTTATAAATTTACTGAACATCTATTATAAAAGAGAACTATGATAGTTGTCTTACCCCAAGAGAACACTATCCAACAATGTGACTGGTTCAAGCTTAAGAGAAGATGAATTTGGGTGAATTTGGGGATTTGAATGGATTTTTATTTCCATGACTATTCAGTCACTATTTTCTACTGCCATGGCTGCACTGATCCAGGACAGAGCTAAGACTGGGAGGTCCAGTGGTCTGTTCTAAGCAATTTGACATTTTAGTCCTGCCCTGTGTGAACTCTGACACAGAATGTCATTTATTCTAAGGTAGTCTGTGAGAGTTTCTGGCTGTTCTTTAGCCTCATAAAAGTGATTTTAATATTTAGGAGAAAAGTATAGAAAAGCAAATTTCAAGCAAGGGCTTTGATTTGGTGTCTGTGAAAAGAAAAAGATCCCCAAGAGAGCGGAAGTCTCCTCACATAGCATATTCACCTTTGAGAACTTTTATTCATATTTCACAATTGAATTGATGTTTCATGGGGATAAAAATAATTTTATTTGTCATTCAGGTATTTTACAGGGCTTTAATGCTTTCTAAAAGAATTTAATAAAATTTATTAAGTATAGCTGTAAGATCTCTTTTGCTGTCTCTTTTCCTGAATCTTGTCATTTCATCTTTTATTTTCTTTGGAAAAGCAGAACACAAAGATATGTTTTGGATTGTGGATATGAAGTATAATTGTTCTGTTCTTCTGATTGTCTTTGGTTCAGATTGGGCCCAAATGGAAAGATGTGGTGACCAAATGCATCAAGGGGCATTACCAGCCTTTGCTGCTACTCTATGCTGACCCCCAGGGTACCCCAGTGTCGACCCAGGACCTGCCTCCCCAAGTTGAATTCCAGTCGTACAGCAGGATGTGCTACGATAGTGAAGATTCAGGTGAGCAGCCTAGCTCTTACCTTCCCCTTTTTCTCTCCAATGTAATCATTGGATATTGGGACTCTTGATCATGAGCCTAGCACATAACCTAGCTTGGATAAGGAGGATCCATTAGAGAAAAGAAAGAAATGCCTACTTGTGCTGAAGCCCAACTTGCTGCAGGCTTTGTTTCCTTCAGCCTCCAAGAATGCCTTGCCTGTATTCAATGTGGCCTTAAATCAGAATTACGAAGAGGATTATGTTGATTGAGACTGAGATATTAAATTTGAGAGAAAAACCTCGGCATTTAACCTTATAATGTTGGTAAAGATGACTGATTCTTACTAGCAATTTAACAATGACTTAAGTGAGTTGTAAAGACCAAGAGAAATGACACGTTACTATGAAGGTAGTCATATTGTTAGGGTGGAGAGGTTTTTGTTTTAAAATGTCAAATGCAGTAGTGATATTCCTCAGCTTATGAATCAGTTATTTACTTCTAATTCAATTGTTTGGAACCTGAATTATGTTTTCCTGTAGAAACAATTCACAGCTTGATGGCTAAAGTCTCAGGTTATTTCTAATAATATATTAGAAATATAACCCTAATGGTTTTGGCTTGATTTCTGTAAAGGAGGAAAAAAATGTTCTTTTTCACTTCTATTTTTAGGGTTCGCCCTAAGTGTAATTTTGAAAAAGAAGACACCTGTCTTTAGACTCTTTTTTCCCCCTCCCTTTTGTATCCCCATCCTGGTTGGTAACTAGTGTTCTTCCTACCTTTGTAACCCCACCCAGACCTGTTCTACTTCTCCCTTCAATCAAACACCCATTTCTTCCACTTATCTTAGCTAAGTGTTTAGAGGAGAGTAGTCTGGATTGAACTAATTCACACTGAAGTATAAATAGCAGGCCCATAATTTCTTAGAGATATTAAAAATGCTTATGTCAATTAAAAAATTTAAAGTGACATTTCTGGCAGTATAGGAGAAATATTATGGGCTATAGTTTATGTATTCCAGGTCAGCCTAGGATTCTTTAGCTAAGTAGATCTTATTTTTCACACCTTTTTCCTTTCTTTCACTCCCTCCACCCCCATAGGTTTTCTAAAAGCCCCAGGTTTTTCACAGTGGCAGGCAAAGTGAGGGCTTCAGCAAGGTAGGGGCAGGAGTGGGAAGAACTGTGTGTGTGTCTGGGTTATCTGGAAGTTGGGTGTTGGGAAGAATGGCTCTGGTATATCCTTTTCACCGTTCCATCCAGGAATTTCTTGCCTTATGGACCTTTGTTGCCATCCAGCTCTTTGCCCCCTCTCTGTTACTGTCCTTCTCTCTTTCCTCACTTTTGCATATGTGTCTCCTCCTTCCCTCAGGGAGGGAGCCCTCCATCTCAAGTGATACTCGAACAGATTCCTCAACGGAGAGCTATCCCTACAAACACTCCCACCACGAGTCTGTGGTCAGTCACTTCTCTTCTGATTCTCAGGGGACAGTCATCTCTAATGTGGAGAATGATTCCACGTCTCAGAGCAGTCGGGACACAGGTAGGGACTTATGCAGTGGATCCTGCTTGTTCCTGCATAGAGGGTTTCCAAGAAAAAGAAACGGGCCAGTCAGAAATGTTTGTCATGCAAAGGGAGGAAGGCACAGAACTTGGGTAATTGAGTGGTATCAAAAGAAGCAATACAATTCTGAATAAATGATGATGTTCCATTGCACATATTCCTGTCAGTAGCAGCATAGCAGTAAGGACCATTGTAATTTGATTATTGATGTGCTTGTTTATTCTGAAATCTGCTTTTCTCCTGCTCTGCTCTTAATCCCCATCCCTCTCATAGTGCTCCATTAAACTCTTGTGGTCTTGTACCTTATAATGTTTTCATGCTAGGCTTTGTCCCAAGTTAAGGGCTTTGAGAGAGGGGCATATTATGGGCAGGGGACACCTGCTCATCACCTTGCTAGGTTTCCTGAAGGACAGAGACACAAAAGAATGAAAGTTTGCCTATTTGTTATTGTGAATTCCATGCAGAGAACATTCTTTTTTTTTTTTTAATGATCTATAGAGAGTGTGCCCATGTCAATGGAAAAATTCAATACAGGGCATGAAAGGAAGAACAGTGAATAACTGACTACTGAGATGAAAAGTTCATCACCCAAGGCATAGAACAATGCCCATATTCTTAGAGACTTGGAAATTAGTAAGCTCATGGCTTCAGATTGGTTGTTTATACTCTGTGCCTGGACTTTAAAAAAGAGAGAGACAATTTCAAACATATTTAGAAGTGTACAGAATAGCATACTGCCCCTCCACATACCCATCACCTAGTTTCAGTGATTACAACTCATGGCCAGTCTAGTTTTATCTGAACCTCTACCCACTTCCCCCACTCCTGGACTATTCTGAAACAAATTCCAGACATGTCCGTTTTTTCATAATTATTTTAGTATGTATCTCTAAAATATAAGAGATCATTGTTAAACATACTATTATCACACTATTAAATACTATTATCATACTATTAAAATATTAACAGTTCCTTTAAGCCACTAAGTAACCAATGAATGTTTAAATATCCAATTTTCTTACAAATGTCATAACTTTTTAATGGTTGGTTTATTTGACTCAGAATTGAAATGAGGTCTACACATTGCAATGGGTTAATAAGTTTTTTGTGTTTATTTTACTACTCTATTTTTTTTCTTGCAATTTATTGTTGAAGAACTAGGCAATTTGTCCTGTAGATTTTCCCACATTCTAAATGTTTTTTTAATTGTGTTTTTATGGTAAACTTTAGCATGTTTCTCTATGCTCTGTATTTCATGTAAGTTGGTAGTTGGATCTAGAAGTTTGGTCAGATTCATGTTGGATTACTTTTGATGACTGTTGCATAGATGACAACTGCAAAGTGTAATATATTTTGTTTTTTTAATCTTCACCCAAGTATGTGTTTATTGAATTTTAGAGAGAGAGTGAGGGAGAGAATGGGGAAGAGAGAGGGGGGGGGGAGAAATATTGATGTAAGAGAGAAACATTGATTGGTTGCCCCGACTGGGATTGAACCACAACCTAGGTATGTGCCATGACTAAGAATTGAATCTACAACCCTTTTTGTTTATGGGACGACGCTTCAACCAACTGAGCAATCCTGCCAGGGCAATGTGATATTTTGAAAACCATATTTCTGAAACTGTGAACCAGGCAGATGCTAAGTCACAGGATAAATAAAACCTATTTTCCAGGAGAGTCAGGTTTATGTTAAGGGTCTGTGAATGGCTGGGGGTAGGGAGGCATATCCCCATTATCTAGTAGCTCCAAGTGATTTCCTCCTTTCTTAAATCTTTCTTATGGGTATAGAAGTAGAAAAGGATCAGATAAAAGCAATAAAAGATTGCATTGGTAAATATAGCCATATCACTGTATTGCTGATACCTGAATATATATAAGGATTTTCATATACTAACATATGAAAACAAATTTTTGTTAACTCTTAGTGCATTTGAGAACATAGCAGATTTTCTCTAAGCCTGTCTTCCAATTTAGTTTAGTTGCTTAATTCACCTCTGGCCTCCAGCAGCTTAGATGATTATATCCTTTAGAATCTGACCTTTGCTGCTGTCAAATCAGCCTCATACATTCACTTTTGCTGGGCATGAAGCAAGTGAAATTATATAAAAAGCCCAGATCCTCCTGGGTTTCCCAGCCGTTAGTATTGAGGAACTATGAAGTATAATCTCTGGGTTTTGTCAGTTTGGGTGAAGCATGGTTGGGGATGGGAATGAGAATTATTCAAAGTTCAATGTTTTTGTAAATGATTCCCATTTAAGGAAAGTTTATTACTGGGTTTTAAAGCCATACCCAATTGCCCAGCTTGTGAGCAATGGCTGGGACACCTGGGATAATACCAGATGTAATAAAAATTGGGCTTTACTTGCCAAATAAATTAAAGGAAAGCTCTGTCTTTTATTTATGAGAGTGAAAATATATTGGTACATGACATTTTTATACAATCTTTAAAACTTGCACCTTTTAAAAAGTACCAAGTAATGTGTCCGTCAGGTTACTGGGGAAAATTATGAGTGGGATTGAGGCTAGTAATTGCTCAGAAAACATTATAAATTTGGAAGCTTCCATGAACTACTTTAGCTCCTTTGCATTTATCTATTGAGAGATTCCTGGTACATTTAAATCAGGTAGCAATGGCCCTTAACAGCTTTCAATCCATGGGTTAACACTAAATTTGTGCCATTGCCATGAATCCCAAAGGGAGACTACTTTCTCAAAAGGATGGAGGTCAGTCTCAGATACCAGCTTACCCCCATTTCCTTGTTCTTTTAGGACACCTGACTGATAGTGAATGTAATCAGAAACTCACATCCAAGAAAGGGTCACTGATAGAGCGCAAGAGAAGCTCTGGCCGGATTAGGAGGAAAGGCGAAGAGCCACAGGCCTCGGGGTACCACAGTGAAGGCAAGCCACTCCGCTTTGCTTCTCTTTCCTAATTCAGTCTGTCAAACTTGTCACACTTCAGACTGTGGCTTCTCTTTTCTGCTCAAATGGGTCTCCTTGCTTTCTCAACTTTGGGATCTGGGTATCCATGAGCACTTTAAACATTTATATTTGTTTCATTCTTTGTATTTTTAGGAGAAACACTGAAAGAAAAGCAGGCTCCTAGGAATGCCTCTAAACCATCCAGCAGCACCAACAGACTAAGAGATTTTAAAGAGACAGTCAGCAATATGATCTATAACAGACCATCCCTAGCTTCTCAGACCAACCTAGGATCTCCCAGTGAGGGGAGAGGAGGAGACCAGATGGACAAAAAACCTCACAGGAACCTGCCTTTACACTCTCGTAACTGGGAAGTAGAGAGTACTAGCAGTGAGTCAAAATCCAGTTCTTCTAGCAAATATCGTCCAACATGGAGACCCAAACGAGAATCTCTGAATATTGACAGTATCTTTAGTAAGGACAAAAGGAAGCACTATGGCTATACCCAGCTTAGCCCATTTTCTGAGGATTCAGGTGAGATAATTAGGGGAAAATTGGGTTTTTGAATAAAGTTTATTTATGTATTTCTAAAAACCTGGGATTTCTGGTAGACTTGACAAGGTATATTTTTACCCTATTTTGGGGTCTTTTGGGAATATATACATTCAGTAAATGAGTAGGTGGAGGGAGATGTTATGTCTTAATTTGAGGCAGATGCTAAATCTACCTACTTTTTCATATTTGTCCTTTGATTGGGATAGCTAAAGAATTTACACCAGATGACCTAAGCAAGCCACCTGCTTATGACTTTAAAACTGGTGGACCAAGCTCACAATACAAGCCTTGGGGCCCAGCACGGCCAGGCTCTCACCTTCTAGAGCAGCACCCTCGCCTAATCCAGCGAATGGAATCTGGCTATGAGAGCAGTGAGAGAAACAGCAGCAGCCCTGTCAGCCTGGATGCAGCCCTGCCTGAGAGCTCAAGTGTCTGCAGGTATTGTTTGCCTTTTGCATAGCAGCATTGTCCCTTGCAGCAGTGTGAGCCAGCCACCAAGAGGCTTATCAATTCAGACAAGTGGACAAATGCACTTTATTACCATCTTGTGGGCAAGTGAAGTATTGTGCTCTATCAACTTTCTGTGGCAACAGCTCCCTCTGCTGGGAGAAAGAGCAAAGGCATTTGAGAAAGGAGAGGTTTGTTTGTTTGTTTGTTTGTTTGTTTGTTTGTTTTTAATCCTCACCCTAGGACATTTTTCCATTTTTTGTTCAGATAGAGTGGGAGGGAGAGAGAGAGAGAAAAAAAAACATCGACGTGAAAGGGACACATCGAGTGGCTGCCTCCCGCACGACCCCAACCGGGACCAGGGACAAACTGCAACCAAGGTACATGCCCTTAGCGAGAACCGAACCCTGGTCTCTCTGGACCGCAGGCCAATATACTAACCACTGAGCCAAACCAGCCAGGGTGAGAGAGACTTTTTAAAAAATTGTTGACTCTTACAGATTTCCCCCATTTTCACCCCTTTGTCTCCTTCCACCTGGCCCCCATCCCCACTAGGTCTTTACTACATTATTGTCTATGTCCATGGGCTCTGTATATATACATATATATTCTTTGGTTGATCTCTTCTTTACCCTCCTCCCTCTGAGATCTGTCAGTCTGTTCCATTTATCCATGCCTCTTGTCCTATTTTGTTTGTCAGTTTATTTTGTTCTTTAGATTCTATATATAAGTGAGATCACATGATATTTGTTCTTTTCTGACTAGTTTATTTCGCTTAGCATAATAATCTCCAGGTCCATCTGTGCTGTTGCAGAGGGTAAGTGTTCCTTCTTTTTTACAGCTGCATAGTATTCCATTGTGTAAATGTAGCCCAGCTTTTTTATTCACTCATCTACTGATGAGCACTTGGGCTGTTTCCAGATCTTAGCTACTGTAAGTAATGCTGCTATAAACATAGGGTTACATATATTCTTTCTGATTGGCGTTTCAAGATTCTTAGAATATATACCCAGAAGTGGTATCACTGAGTCAAAAGGCAATTCCATTTTTAATTTTTTGAGGAAACTCCATGCTGTTTTCCACAGTGGTTGCACCAGTCTGCATTGCCACAAACAGTGCACTAGGGTTCCCTTTTTTCCACATCCTTGCCAGCACTTGTTGTTTGTTGATAGTTACCTTTCTGACTGGTGTGAAGTGATACCTCATTGTAGTTTTTATTTGTATCTCCCTGATGATTAGTGACCTTGAGCATTTTTTAATATGTCTGTTGACATCCATATGTTCCCTTTGGATAAGTGTCCATTCAGGTCCTTTGCCCATTTTTTTTTGTTGTTTTAATCGGATTGTTTATTTTTATGGTGTTGAGATGTCTAAGTTCTTTATATATTTTGGAGATTAATCCCTTATCTGATTAATCATTGATGAATATAGTCTCCCATATGGTGGGCTCTCTTTTTGTTTTGTTGATGGTTTCTTTTGCTGTGCAGAAGCTTTCTAGTCTGATGTAGTCCCATTTATTTTTTCCTGTGTCTGAGATTTTACTACCTATGTTTTCTTCTAGGGTTTTTATGGTTTGATGACTTAAATTTAAGGCTTTTATCCATTTGAGTTTATTCTTTGTGTATCGTGTAAGTTGGTGGCCTAGTTGCATTGTTTTGCATGTTTTGGCCAATTTTTCCAACACCACTTACTGAAGAGACAGTTTTTACTCCATTGTATGCTCTTGTCCCCTTTGTCAAACATTAACCATAAAGGTGTGGGTTAATTTCTGGGCTCTCTTTTCTGTTCCATTGACCTATATGCCTATTCTTACCAGGCTGTTTTGATTACAGTGGCTTTGTAGTATAGTTTGATATCCAGTATTATGATCCCTTCAACTTTGTTCTTCTTAAGAATGCTGAAGTTATTCTGGGTCTTTTTTGTTCCATATACATTTTTAGAATATTTGTTCTAAATCTGTGAAATATGCTATTAATATTTTAATAGGAATTGCATTGAATCTATTGATTGCTTTGGGTAGTATGGACATTTTAATGATGTTGATTCTTCCAATCCATGAACACGGTATATGCTTCCACTTGTTTGTATCTTCCTCTATTTCTTTTTTCAGTGACATATAGTTTTCCGAGTATAGTTCTCTTACCTCCTTGGTTAAGTTTATTCCTAGGTACCTGATTTTATTTTGTTTTGCAGTAGTAAATGGGATTTTCTTGGTTTCTCTTTCTGAGAGTTCATTATTGGTGTATAAAAATGCCACCAAGCCCAGCTCATATGGCTCAGTGGATTGAGCATCATCCCATGGACAGAGGTCCTGGTTAATTTCCTGGTCAGGACACATGCCTGGGTTGCGGGTTCCATCCCCTGTTGGGTAATGGGGGAGGGCGCAGGAGGCAGCTTCTTGATGTTTCTTTCTCACATCAATGTTTCTCTCTCTCTCTAAAAAAAAATATCAATAAACACATTTTAAAAAATAATAAAAATGTTTCCAAGTTCTGGATATTAATTGTGTATCCTGCTACTTTGCCAAATTCACTTATTAACTCTAGTAGTTTTTTGGTGGCTTCTTTAGGTTTTCTGCATACAATATGTTCTCTGCAAATAATGACAGTTTTACTTTCTCCTTTCCAATTTGGATGCCTTTTATTTCTTCTTCTTGTCTGATCACTGTGGCTAGGACTTCCAGTGCTATTTGAATAAGAGTAGTGAAATCAGACATCCCTGTCTTGTTCTGATCTTAGGGGAAAATGCTTTTAGTTTTCGCCCATTGAATATGATGTTGGCTGTAGGTTTTTCCTATATGGACTTTATTATGCTGAGGTATGATTCTTCTATTCCCACTTTGCTGAAAGATTTTATCAAAAATCAGTGCTGGATTTTGTGAAATGCTTTTCTGCATCTATTGATATGATCATGTGATTTTTTTTATCCTTAATTCTGTATTTGTGATGTATCACATTTATTGATTTGCAAATATTGTACCAACCCTGCATCCCCAGAATAAATCCCACTTGGTCCTAGTGTATGAACTTTTTAATGTATTGCTGGATCCTGTTTGTTATATTTTGTTGAGGTTTTTAGCATCTATGTTCATCAGGGATATTGGCCTATAATTTTCTTTCTTTGTAGTATCTTTGGTTTTGGAATTAGGATAATGCTGACCTCATAGAAAGAGCTTGGAAGTCTTCCTTCCTTTTGAATTTTTTGGAATAGTTTGAGGAGGACAGGCGTTAGTTCTCCCTTGATTGTTCGGTAAAACTCACTTGTGAAGCCATCTAGTCTAGGACTTTTGTTTGCTGGGAGTTTTTATTTTTTATTACTGCTTCAATTTCATTTTTATCAGTCTATTCAGGTTTTCTGATTCTTCCCTATTGAGTTCTGGAAGATTGTATGTTTCTAGGAATTTTTCCATTTTACCCTGGTTGTCCAATTTGTTGGCATATAGTTGTTCATAGTATTTTCTTACAATCCTTTGGATTTCTATGATGTCAGTTGTTACTTAACCTCTTTCATGTCTGATTTTGTTTATTTGGGTCCTCTCTCTTTGTTTCTTGGTAGATCTGGTTAAAGATCCATCAGTTTTGTTTATCTTTTCAAAGAACCAGCTCTTGGGTTTGTTGCTCTTTTGTTATTTGTTTTTTGTTGTTGTTGTTGTTCTTTGTTTGTTTGTTTTTTAGTCTCTATGTCATTTATTTCCACTCTGGTCTTTATTATTTCTTTCTTCTACTTGGGCTTTTCTTATTGTATTTTTTTTTGTTCTTTTAGTTGTAGGGGTAGATTGTTTATTTGAGATTTTTCTTGTTTCTTGAGGTAGGTCTGTAATGCTATGAACTTCCCTCTCAAGACTGCTTTCACTGTGTCCCATAGATTTTGAGTTGTTTGTGTTTTGTTTTTTTTTCTTTAAAATCTTCACCCAAGGATATTTTTACATCGCTCTTCAGACAGAGTGGGGAGGGGAGAAAAAGAGAGAGAGACAGAGAGAAACATAAATGCGAGAGTGACACATCAATTGTTTGCCACCTGCATGACCTCAACCAGAGCCGGGGATGAACTGCAACCAAGGTATGTGCCTTTGGCTGGAAATGAACCTGGGACTCTTTGGTCCATAGTTCCAGTGCTCTAACCACTGAGCCAAACCAGCCAGGGCAGCTTTTCAAGTATTATGTATAAAATAATTATTTAGTAAATAACTTCTTTTTTTAAATTAAATTAAATTAAATTAAATTAATTAATTTGTTTTTTTTATCCTCACCTGAGGACTTTTTTTTTTTGCATTTATCTTCAGATAGAGTGGGAGGGAGAGATGGAGGAAGAGAGAGAGAAACATTGATGTGAGAAAGACACATTGACTGGTTGCCACCCACAAGACTCCAACCAGGGCCAGGGACAATCTGCAACTGAGGTACGTGCCCTTAGTGGGAACCAAACCTGGGTCTCTCTGGTCTGAGGGCCGACGCTATAACTGCTAAGCCAAACCGGCCAGGGCAATATAATTTCTAATAAGAATGAATTAGTGAATCAAAACTTATAATGTCCTAAGATCGGAGATAAAACCTACTTATTATTTATCCTTGCCTTTCATTTTAGGATAGGTTCTTTCTTTTGGGGTCACTGAGGTCCCTGTGTCTTATGAAGCCAATGATATTCACAATTTCATAAGATAACAATAACAATGTAATAGTGTTCATTGCACCCTGGCCGGTTGTTCAGTTTGTTAGAGCATTGTCCTGATATGCCAAGGTTGCAAGTTCAATCCCCAGTGAGGGCACCTACAAAAATCAATGAATGCATAACTTTCTCTCTCTCTAAAATCAATAAATAAAAATTGTAAAAAAAAAAATAGTGCTCTATGCATTCTGTCCACAGGGCCCAGTTTGCTTTATAAAAATTCAGATCTTCATATATATTGTTTTTACTGAGCTGCCACAGAGGCAAGTTTCCTGACAGTACAACTACTTTGAAAGGAGTGATTATATCTTCTACAGGGGTGATAACCACCTCTTCATACTTTCACACTGTTCTTCCCTGGCCAACAGACCCTGTTCAGCTTTACGCATGAGAGGATGCTACAGTAATACTTTCAATAATAAAGATTTTGATAAATAAATAAATAAATAAATAAATAAATAAAATTATTTTAGTTGCTATCTGAAAATTATTTTACATACTGTATTTATAGAAATAAAAGATGCTACAAAGTATAAGAAAGAGGAAGGCAATCCATATTAGAGCATATGTTTATTAATTCATGAAATAAGTTTTGTGCCAGATGCATAAAATGTGACTGAGGCGTGAGATAAGAAGGGGGAATGAGTGAGTATTTCAGTTTTTCAGAAAAAGTTTATCAGATACTTTAATGATACTAATACAATGCTTTGTTGGTTTTTTAGGGAATTTTGTCCTAGGACTGTTGCTAGTTATCACCCTTCTGCTGCTTTCACTAGACTGTAGTTTCTCTTTTGAAGGGATCCAAATGCTAAGAGATCAGCTGGGTTGGCACCTTCCTGGCGTCACATCCCAAAGTCTCACAGCAGTACCATCCTGGAGGCGGACTCCACAGCATCCAGGAGTGGCTGGACAAAGAATCAGCCCCTGTCCGGTAAGCAAAAGGACAATGGATTTGGAGGACTTAATTTGTCTGCCAATTTTGTTTGGGAAACAGCTTTACTTGAGAACATTTGAAGTTAGAGGACAGTTGCACTTTGAGTATTCTATCCAAATGTAAATGTGGAGGTATTTGAGCTCCTCCATCTTTGGATTATCTATATTTTGTTCACCACAGCTTGCCTGATTGTTTCTTTCTACCTTGGAGAGACCCCTTTCAGGAGCAAAAAGGAACAGGAAGTTGGTGAATAGTGTCAAGTAGCCTCTGCATTCCTCAGACGAATAAGTCCTAGGGCTTTCTTTGGTATAGAGGCAGCCTCTTGGGAATATATTTTAGTACCATGAATTGTGTTAACACAGGGGGGCATGTAGACTGTGGGCAAAACTGGGAGGTAAGTAGGTCAAACCTACCCTTACCCCTGCCTCAACACCCTGTCCAGTATCTCTGTTTTGTTTTTCCTTCTTGAGTATGCCTTGTTTTCTCATACTCCCTCCTCAAAACAAGCTCTCAAGGAATGATCTGACTCCCTCACACTAAATTTAAGTGACTGAAAATAGTTTAAAGTATTCTTTCCCTAAGAGAAACTAGCATTTTTAACAAGTCAAAATCTGAAGATAGAGGCATACTGGAGTTTCAGGTCGATATTTGAGGTAGTCATAGGTTTTAGCTCTTTTTTAAATTTCTCTCCCTATATATATTTCTAGTGCATATTCCACTTAAGGAAAGCCCCAGTCCAAATGGGTCAGAATAAATCCTTTACTTAGAGCTGAAAATTGAGGTGATAACTAGGCAGTCTCCCCAACATGGAGACTTTGGAATGCTTGAGGAAAGGTGGTGAGTCTACAGTATCATTTAGTCTGATGAGGAGTTCTACGAGCTACTAGTTTAGAGACCAACTTTACTTGAAAGATGTGTTTCATCCTTTTTTTTTCTGGTTAGGTCAATTGGGAGTAGGGTGTGTGGGCAGAAACCTAACGATGGTCTGACTTAATGAGCTTCTGGATGTAGATCTGGCCAGCTTACTAAAGAAAGGATAGAATACTATGCCAGCTTGTAGAGATGAGACCAGAAACATTACTACTCTGACCACTAATTCTCTTGATAGCCACTTAAAGTTCTTGGAGATAGCTGGAAGGGAGGTATGCAGCAGTAATAAAAAGACATGAACTCTCTTAGGTATGAGTGCCATAGGTTGCTGACACCTGGCAGAGCAAAACAACATCTATAGAAGCAAGTATCTCTGAAATCCTGGGCTGGAGTTAGGTTAAGTAGAAGCCTGTAGAAGAAATTCATGATTTCTAATGAAGCCATACATTTGGTTTATTTTCCATTTATGTTGACTAACATTGCTTTGAGAAACTTGTGATCGATCATGCATGAGGCTATTCCCCCTTCTCTTTTCTTTGGATAGCCAGTACTTTTTCAATGCACTAAAGACTATATCTCATGATTTCTCTAATAGTCTTAATTCTGGACTACCTAGATAGAATTCACCAGTATGATTCCTCAACTGATAAAAGATATTTAACAAGTACTTACAACAAATCTCTCACACACCATACTACTTCACCATCATCTTGGTATAGTGAACCCTACTTATGCCTAAAATTTAATCCAATCATAGTAGTCTAGCACAGAACAAACATTTTTCTCTGGTGACTTTGATCACTCTTTTAAAAAATTACATAAGTAAGTCCTGGCTGGTTTGGCTTAGCGGTTAGAGCATTGGCCCGCGGACCAGAGTCGCAAGTTCGTTTCTGGTCAAGGGCACATAACCTCGCTGTGGTTCATCCCCGGCCTTGGTTGGGGTCATGTGGGAAACAACCAGTTGATATGTCCCTCTCATGTTGATGTTTCTCTCTCTCTCCTTCCCTCCCTCCCCTATATCTGAAGATAAATAAAAAAATATCCTCAGGTGAGGATTTAAAAAAAAAATTACATAGTAAAATTAATCCAAAAATTTAGTAACTTGCCAGTTGCTTCTTCAAATTAAAGATACACAGTGTTACGATTATGGTATATATCTTTTTTCTATGCTAATATATGTAGCAGCAACCAGGATGCAGTTCATTGCAGCCAAATTCTAACATCCCCAATAGAGACAACATTTTAAACTGCATGGATAACATTCAAATAGCCTCCACTCCCCCCCACCCAATTTTTTAACTTTATTGTTGAACGATGTATTACAATTGTCCCTCCCTTTTTTCCCCCAGTGACCCCCCTCCTCCCCAATCCCGCCCCCCTCCTGCCTTCCCCACACTATTGTCTGTGTCCATTGGTTATGCATATATGCATAGAAGTTATTTGGTTTATCTCTTCCCGCCCTCCTTTCCCCCTTCCCTTTGAGGTTCATCAGTCTAACAACCAATTTGTGCTTCTTAATTCCTTCATCTTTTTCACTCATCTCCTCAATCCCCTCCCATCTGGCAAGCAACAAAAAGTTCTCAGTATCTATGAATCTGTTTCTGTTCTGCTTGCTCATTTTGTTTGTAGATTCAATTGTTGATAGATATGTATTAATTGCCATTTTATTGTTCATATTTTTATTCTTCAAGAAGACCCTTCAACATTTCATATAATTCTGGTTTGGTGGTGATGAACTCGTTTAGCTTTTTCTTGTCTTGGAAACTCTTGATGTGTCCGTCGATTCTAAATGATAGCTTTGCAGGACAGAGTAATTTTGGTTGTAGGTTGTTGCTTTTCATCACCTTGAATATCTCTTGCCACTCCTTTCTGGCCTACAGAGTTTCTTTTGAGAAATCAGCTGACAGTCTTATGGGAGCTCCTTTATAGGTAACGAACTGATTTTCTCTTGCTGCTTTAAAGAGTCTCTTTATGTATTTAACATTTGACATTTTGGTGATGATGTGTCTTGGTATGGACCTCTTTGGGTTCATTTTCTTTGGGACTCTCTGTGCTACCTGGACTTGCATGTCTATTTGCTTCACCAAGTTAGGGAAGTTTTCTGTCATTATTGTTTCAAATAGGTTTTCAATTTCTTGTTCTCTCTCTTCTCCTTCTGGCACCCCTATAATGCGAATGTTGGCACGCTTGAAGTTGTCCCAGAGGCTCCTTACACTATCCTCATTTTTTTGGATTCCTTTTTCTTTTTGCTGCTCTGATTGGGTGTTTTTTGCTTCCTTATATTCCAAATCGATGGTTTGCTTCTTGGCTTTACCTACTCTACTATTGATTCTCTGTAAACTACTCTTTATTTCAGTTAATGCATCCTTCATTTCTGACTGGCCTTTTTTTGTGTTGTTGTTCTCACTAAGTTCTTTGGAGTTCTCCTTAAGTTCCTTGAAGTTCTCACTAAGTCCCTTGAGCATCCTTACAACCAGTGTTTTGAACTCTGCATCTCTTAGATTGCTTATCTCAATTTCATTTAGTTCTTTTCCTGGAGTTTTGTTCTGTTTTTTTTGGGGGGGGGGACATGTTTCTTTGTCTCCTCATTTTGGCTACCTCCCTGTGTTTGTTTCTATGTATTAGGTAGAGTTGCTGTCTCCTGGGCTTCCTAGGTGGCCTATTGTAGAAGGTGTTCTGTAGGGTCCAATGGCACAGCCCCCCTGGTCTCCCAGGTAGACCCTCGAGGTGTACTCCTCGTGTGGACTTTACACCCTTCTGTTGTAATTGAGTCTTGCTTGCTGTTGGCACATCAATGAGAAAGTTTTACTCGGGCTGATCAGCTGCAAGGACTGGCTGTGCCCACTATCTGCCGACCTCTGACTACCTTGGATGATCAGCTGTGCAGGGGCCTACCACATAGAGCAAGACTTACTTCAGCAAGGTTCTGGTACTCACTGAGTCCATTCCATGAGTGTGTCAATTGTGGAGGTGATTGGGTGGTGGTGCTTTGCAGTGTTTTGAAGCTGTCTACTGGGTGTGCTGGCTCTGAGGCAAGGTCAGCCTCTGCCTGTGTTCTACCCGGGGCCACCAGGCATAAGCTACAAAGCAGTCTGCAGATGGCTGCTTCTTGTGCTGGGCTTGGAGGTGCAAGTACAAATTTTACAAGCTAAAATAAAATAATAAAATTAAGTAAAATAAATAAAATACAATACAATAAATGATAAAATAAATAAAGTAATGAAATAAAATGAAGTCATACTATACCTATTATTTTATTACTTGAGTTTTCATGTAATGTAACATGGACACCTTTTTAGTACTGTGGACATTCTAACCTCATTAAAGAAAAGGTAAAAATTAAGGGTGAGGAATTGCTTTGCTTGAACCTTCCCAATGAATCAGTGGCAGCATGTGGTAGAGAATGTTCCCTAATGGTTAAGAGCATGTATTATGAATTTAACCTATATAATTTTAATTCAGCTCCACCATTTACCATTTATGTTATCTTGGGCAAATTATTTGTCCTCTTTGTAACTCAGTTTCTTCATTCCTAAAATGTGGGCAATAATAGTTTTTACCTCATAAGTTGTTGTGAGAATTAAATGAAATAATATATATAAGTGCTTAAAACTGCTCCTGTTACATAGTAAATGCTCAACAAATGTTAGTTGTCATGTTGTTACAAAACACTCAAATATTTATTATTATTATCATCATCATCATCATCATCATCATTATTATTATTCACAGCCCAAGTCTCACCCTGAATCTGATATGGAAAGCAATATTCAAAACATAAATTTCAAATTGAAGCCCAGAGTTCCAAGAGACATGCTGTGCAGTGGTGGAAACTGCCCCAGGGGTTTAGTTTTGGTTATAGAAATGTGGTAACTTCTCTTCTCCCTCGCTTGCATTTCAGGTGGGGAGATATCTTCCAAAAGTGAACTGGATGAATTGCAAGAAGAGGTGGCCAGGAGGGCCCAGGAACAAGAACTTCGAAAGAAACGGGAGAAGGAATTAGAGGCAGCTAAAGGGTTTAATCCTCATCCCAGCCGCTTTATGGACTTGGATGAACTGCAAAATCAGGGTAATTGTTGTGAGTATTAGATTGTTGGTGATGGGGACAGTGAGAGAAGGAAGAAAAAAAATTTTAAGCTCAAATTCCCTGTCTTTGCTTTATTAGCAAAGTTATATTTTATCTTAATTCAGCCATTTTGGTGAGAGCTAGTTAAAGTAGGAGGTAACAGGCCTGTTGATTGGAGACAGGCACTGATTTGGGGCCCATCTATTTAAAGCGTATAGATTAGAGATAGTATATTGTTCATGAAAATATTTCCCAGAAACATCTATAGAAGGTGTAAATAAAACTAGTCATAATTCAGAAACAACAGAAAAGGGCAGTGACCATGCTATACTGACAGTGAGGGGAATTCTACTTGCTGGGCAGAAACATACCCTCAAGATTTCCCACCTGGAGCTCTAGGGAAGTCAATCTACCAGACAGGTTCTAAGAACATAGAACCTAATTGCTTTCTGATCCTCTGCTGATCCATTTCCTATTTTCACATGGTTTTCATGGACTTTACTTAAGCTTCCTTAACTGTCCCATATCAGTCACTTTTTTCTTCAATTGCTTTAGGATGTCATTTTGTACCAGAAGAGACTAACCTTCAAAATAGGAGTTCAGAAAAGCTGAGGTATTTACCTTAAATAGGCCCTGAAACCTAGATCTATGTGTTGTTGTTTTAATAAAATGAATTTATTATTCTTATTATTCAAAATCCCTGGATGTAATAAATTGTGTCTAACCTAGTGTAAAGAATAGGAATCAATGCTGTTTTGGGTGGCTGTTTTGTATTGATCGCTTCCCTCTTATTAATAAAAAGATTTTTTCTTTATTGATTTTAGAGAGAGAGGGAAAGGAAGGGATAAAGAGAGATAGAAACCTCAATGAAAGAGAGCATCAATTGGCTGCCTCCTGCATGCCACCCACTGGGGACTGGGCCCACAACCTGGGCATGTGCCCTGACTGGGAATCGAATTGGCATGGTGCATGGGTCAATGCTCAACCACTGAGCCACACTGGCCAGGCAATCACTTCCCTCTTATCAACACATAGAAAAGCTTTCTGGGCTAACTTGGGGGGCCTCTTTGGGGGCCACTTTTCTCTAATCTTGCATTCTTTTGATTTAAGTCAATTGTTGACTTTTATTTACCAAGAAGGCATTATATTTGGTTCCAAATAAGTTTTAAATTTCTAATTCCTTAGCTGTCCCTATATTTGGATAGTCTAATTTTCCTTTTTATCCTTAAGCTGTATTGCATTGCTATCTCAGATTTATATTGCTTTTCAAAAAGGAGCCTTTTCACCTCCTTCCTTGCCTTTTCCCCTCTTCTGTCTGTAGGGTAGTTTAGTACATTAAAGTTGAGATGGAATTTCTCTGGCTATATTTATTGTCAATTCTTCATACATTTTGGTTCAGCATCTCCTGGAAAAGCAAGAAATGGAGTGCTAAGATTCTAGAGAATAAGAATTAAATCTAGTACAATGATTGGTTAACTATAGTTTATTTCTCTCTCTGTAGAGAACTTTGTTTTAGTGACTGTAGCCACCAACTCTTATTATAAAGGTTGTATAGAGTTAGTTGATTTAAAATATTATGATAAAGCCCTGGCTGGTGTGGCTCTGTTTGTTGAGCATTATCTCATGCACCAAAAAGTCACCAGTTCAATTCCTGGTCAGGGCACCAAAAAAATAAAATATTATGAGAAAGCTTCAGGCCTGGAGGTTGGAGGGGACTATATCTTTGGAGGTGGTATGGAACCTGAATGCCAAGTTCTTCAGAACAACTTGTTATTTCCACCACTTTTCCATTACTCTTCAAGAGCCATGGTGAATTAGGGAGTGATGTTAGGGGTGTGGAAGAGCCTTTCTTACCATGAACAACTAAAGGTAAGTGGAGGATTGAGACATTATTGGAGAAATGACTCTGACTTTTTTTTTCTTGTTAACTTAGGAAAACTCACCATTAATCCCAATTGTAGGTGAATATATATTATAGCTTACTACCAATTTATGTTTATGAGTGAGTAAAAGGCAAAGGGGTACATAAACTTAAGGATTCTTTCACAAAAGTTGCCCTTCGAGTACTTTCTTGCTTTTTCATCTGGCTCTGTACTTGACTCTCCTGCACCTGCTTTGGCACACATTCACTTTCAGGGGAGGAAGGTCTAATACTTCATGCTCTCCATGTGGGAAGGTAACTTTTGTGAGGTAGGTTTGGTGAGCAAGGGCATGATAAGACTAACAGCTTAGCAGTGCTGATGAAAGATATGTGCATGCAATCCAACAAAGGCAGTTCAACAGATATATTGCGTTAGGAACTGTAGAACACCTGTGCCCTAGAGGCGTACTGATTTTCCGGTTGAGGGTGGTACAGAGAGTACTGTGAATTGATGTAGGAAGAAAGTGTTAACAGATGCCTTTCCACAGAGTAGTGAAGCCACTTGTGTCTTAACACAGCTGTTGAGGTCTCAGTGGAGATCTGGGGTGTTCTGATAATGGTTGGAAAGATGTATCTTGTTGCACTGTGGAAAAGCAGGTCAGTTCAGGCATAAGTACCCACCTTTCTGCTGCAGACAGTATTTTGTTCTTTCCTTGAGGGACCCCCTAAGAGGTCTTGGAGTTGGAATATGTGGTGGACAGTGACATACCCTCTCTCATGGCCTTGGGTAAGGTCTCAGTTACAGCAAAAATGGATGTCCTACGTGTTTCAGAGAATTCTTAATAGCAGTAGACAGTTGGAATAAGGGTAGACCAAAGGCACAGCAGCAAGAACATATGTGCACTGACAGGAAACAGAGTACATAGGAAAAGTTGGAACAAATCGTAATGAAAATGAAAAGTGCTGGCCCTTTCAGGGAGGAGTGACGGCTTTGAGAGGTCCCTGCAAGAGGCAGATTCAGTATTTGAAGAGTCGCTGCATCTGGAACAGAAGGGAGACTGTGCTGCAGCTTTGGCTCTCTGTAACGAAGCTATCTGTAAGTAACTCTAACCACAATGCCTATAGCAATTTTGATGAACTTCATAACAGGTATTATTAGTGTCTCACTTTGGATAGATGGGATAAAAACAGCTTTTATGTCTCCTCTCTCATTCTCCCAAAGAGTGAGGCCTTTTAGCTATCTTTGCCCATAGGCACTGTCACTGTGGACTATGGATATTTACTAGAATGATCTCAGCAGGAGTCCACAGATGAATTATCCAGCTATGCCTACCTTCTTTTCCCAAGATAAATTAGACCTTAGGTGTGAGGTTAGTTTGCTCTTTCTCTAGTCACTGACTAGGGAGGTGTGCAGCTTATGGCAGGAAGAAAGGAATAAATTGGCTGTGACTTCCCAGGCCTGTGACTTTGCACTGCATATTTAACTTTTTATGTTTTTCCCCTGCCTTTCTGGTATGTTGCACCATTAGATTACAGCAAGGGAGTAAGGCTTAGAATCTGTATCTGGTTCTTAAGTGTGACCCACAAGAAGCTGTGCTCTATAAAGACACATGCAGGTTTGGATCTTATTTCTGCTGTTTGCCATCAGGAAGGGGTAGTTGGGAGCAGAATGTGGAGACCAGAGTTGGACAGGTCAGTTGCAAAAGACAAAAGTGGCAACTTCTAAGATGGAAGCACCAGTTTATCTTCCTAACTCATTTTAGTTTAGCTTTTTGTTTGTTTGTTTTTTAAATTTGAATTAACCTGTTTTTAGCCCTCATGGCTTCCGTGAATTTCTTTATAGCCAGAGCCAGCTCTGTGTCCTGGACAGCATATGCATGGTCCACGCCTTACATTCCTGCTGCATAATTTGAGTTTTACTGCATATCTTTGCTCATTTTTTGTTTAATTTTATTCTTTTATTTGTGTTTGTATTTTGTGTTCTGTTTCTGCTATATTTTCTTTTGCATTTTAGCTAAACTAAGACTTGCCCTGCATGGTGCCAGCTCTAGCACACACAGCAGAGCCCTAGTCGATAAGAAGTTGCAAATCAGTATTCGAAAAGCACGGAGCCTGCAGGATCGCATGCAGCAGCAGCAATCATCGCAGCAACCATCGCAGCCCTCAGCCTGCCTCCCCTCACAGGCAGGGGCCCTCCCTCAGCCAACAAGGTAGTGCCTGGGAACCACAGTAGTTTATGTATGCCAGGGGAGGAAGGGACCATGGGTGCTCCATAGCCAGAGCTCTCATTGTCTTGTTGACTACAGGGGAGAGAAGACTCCTCTGAAAAGTTGTCTCAGGTCAGGCTTACAGTGAAAGCTTATCTCACTGCTGATCTTTTTCTTAATAGTTCCTAGAAAGATGCAGAAAGTATAGCATTGTAAATAGACCACTTGTTCATATTTCCTGCAGGAGAGTTTTTCCCTGGACTTGTGTAATAACACAGTTATTAAATTTGTACACATTAAGTTCTTAGATATGTCAATCCAAGCTACATTTCACATTGCAGTAGAAGCCATGTGAATTATTTTGGGCTTTCAGTGGCTTAGTGTCCCTCATAGAAGCAGAGAAAGCAGTGTTCTTGCTCTGATGAAACCATAGAGAAAAGACACAAAGATTCCCTTTGTTTTGCTTCCTTATCATTAGGACTAGGAAAAAAGTCCCTGTGGCCATTGGTGTGGTTCTCACATTTTAGCCCTTGAATTTGGCTGTTACTTGCAATAGATAGATTTAAGTAAAAGTAAATATTGACTGTTAATCAACCTAAGTAGTTTTCAGAATATAAATATATTATAAAAGCAGGTAACATTTTTTTAATATCTGCCTATGCCCAAGCACTAAGCTTAAACACTTTATGTTTTATGTTATTTAATTTTCACAGTAACCTTAGGATAAGGACTATTATTCAGTGATACTGTGTAAATAAGGAAATCAGGCTTAGAGGATAAGATAAGGAAGGTATCCAGTATCACTCAGCTAGTAAGTAATAGAAGCATGGAATTCAAGTCCAGGTAGGTCTATTTGACTCCATTAGATTTCCCATATAAGTATAATATCATATTTTTCATAATGTTGTAAGGGTGACTGAGTGACTGTACCCACCAAAAAAAGTTTATAGTATATTAACATTCAAATGTAATGCTCATAGCTAGGATCTTCCATTTTCTGCTGTTGTATGCTCCACCAGTTGAATGCTGATCTGCTAATCCAATCAGATATGTTTTGAATATAAGTAGTTTAGGCAGCTAAACTCTTTCCAGAAAACTTAATGCCACTTGATATAAGTGATCGAGGTTTTATTTATTTATTTATTTAAAAATTTTTTTTTATCCTTACCTGAGGACATTTTTCCATTTTTTTGTTAAGATAGAGTGGAAGGGAGAGAGAGAGAGAGAAACATCGACATGAAAGGGACACATGGAGTGGCTGCCACCCGCACAACCCCAGGATCGGGGACAAACTGCAAACGAGGTATATGCCCTTAGCGGGAACCGAACCCGGGTCTCTCTGAACCGCAGGCTGACGCTATAACTGCTGAGCCAAACTGGCCAGGGTGATTGAGGTTTTATTTAAGTGCTTCTAACACAATTTTTAGGTCATAAATACAAAACATGTAGTGAAAACCAACTAAATGCAGTTAATCCTGACTCCCACTCTAAAATTCCAAGATAGTCACAGTGCATTACTTTGGGGAAACATTTTGGTGAGTAATACAACCAAATCTAGATTGTGAAAATATACTTGAAATGCTTAATTTTTATGTAATCCCATGAGCCCAAATCACCCTGTACTCTGTAAGTATGGCCTTTTGGTTCTTTGGCTGTTCTCTTCTCAGGACCCCAGGTATGAGTGATTTCTAGGCTTTGCTTACTTTCCAGGTCATCTACATATGAGACTAGCAATTTTTAAAAAAATTTGTAAGTAAAATATGATTGAAATAGGACTTTATGGGTAGAGAAGAATATTGGCGAGGGCTTAATATTGCTGAGTGCAACTTTGGTGAGGGCATGGAATAAAGAGGATTAATATTACCTACTAATTGGGTGTAAGCAGACCATATGCCTTCTTCTATGAACCTCTGAACTGTTGACTCTACTTGTGCATGTCTTTCCATTTATTTTCACCATTTCCTCTGTGGATATTTAGAAATGGGAATTGAATGAACAGTTTTTTGTAGGTGGTCTTTTCAATCAAGACAGCTTATGACTGGCTCTCTCCATTTATTTCAGTGAACAGCCTATCCCGCTCCAAGTATTGTTAAGCCGGGAGGCCCAGCTGAAACCCTACACTAATACAGAGTTTGGGGCCAGTTCTTTCGTCTACTCATCTGCTTCCTGCCATGAGTCACACCCATCACTATTCTCAGAGTCATCTGCCCTGTCTGCCCCAGAGCATAATTCCCCCAATAGGTCTGCCTCGAACATTCTTACTTCATTTGAGGGGGATAGCATTGACCTCTCTGTGTTCCATAGGCAGGGCTTACCTAAAACACCAGGGAGGACTGAGAAAAACTCTCATCATGGTTGGGAACCACTGGATGTACTGGAGGGTAAGCTGCAAGGCTACAGGGATGACAACAGCAACTACAACAGGTTCTCCCCTCAAGAAGGAAGAGGCATTGATCAAGAAGAGCTATTTCAAGAAAAGAGGGATCCTGCTGACTCATCCCATGTGATGCCTTGGTCACACCCAACTGGAAAAGCCACCTATGAGAGAGGAGATGCACACAGCCTAGGCTATAGTCCTGCAAGTTCATCAGCTCAGCCTGGCCTTCCCCTTTACAGAGCCAGCCACTCCATAATGCCCTCTGCTTCCTCATCTGTGTTTCACTCTCTTGATACTGTGCAGAAAACTAACCAATGCCTCCAAGCCAAAAGCCCCAAAACTTTGTTGACTTCAAAAGTGGATGGAGGCAGTGAGGAGCCCTGTAGGCCAGAGTCTCTGGGCACAAAGGGGCTTGTTCGCACTCTAACAGAACAGTTCCAGAGGATGCAAGGCACCACCACAAGGGATGGTACAGGTTCCCAGGATAGAAGTTTTCCAAATAGTCTAAAAAAGAACTCTCCCCCTTCTGACTCTGAGCCCCCTTTCCCACAGGGTCAAGTGAAAGGTCATTGGCCTTGGGCAAAACAGCAACCCTCTGTGGATGGTAGGGACAGACTGGCTTCCTGGGAAGAGCCTTCTGATCATCCTTCTCTTGTCATGAACTCTGGGCTACCTAATGGTGAAACTTCTTTGGGAGGACAGCCCAGGTTGGCAGAGCCAGGTATGTATCAAGGGAAGCCATCTCAAGTAAGAGATGCTAGACCTAAGGAATTGGGCAGCAATGTTGACTTGGGGACTCCCTTGCCTTTGGATTCCTGGGTCAGTGTCACAAGGCTCTGTGATTCTCAGCTTAAACATGGGGTCCCTGGGTCAGAAATGAAGCCCTTCTCCAATAATCCCCATACCTGCATAGCCTATCCAGACAGAAACCACATCCTTTTGCATCCACATTGGAATCAAGACACAGAGCAGGAGACCTCAGAATTGGAGTCTCTCTACCAGGCCAGTCTTCAGGCTTCTCAAACTGGCTGTTCTGGAAGCGGGCAGCAGGATGTGGCCTGGCATCTATTTAGCCAAACAGGTAAGAATGTTACCAGGGATGGGGGAGTGGGGAGACATATAAAAGCTGAAAGCATGAGAACAAGATCAGAGGTGGGATGGTGTTCTGTCTAAATAATATCCCCAGCTTAGGAGGTAGTAGTAAAACTTTTGTCTTTATTCATTAGGACTTCAGGACAAGGACTAGACATTTTTCTGGCTAGAGTGAAGAATTGGGACAGAATCATCACTCATGTGCCAGTTCCTTAATTCTAATGAGAGAGACCAATGAGTATATGCCCAGGGCTTCTTCAATATTCAGTTCTAAGAAACAGCTCATAGGTCTTTGAGAGTGACTCAGTGTGACATGGGTGAGCCTGAGAGGAAATGTCATCCTTCTATGGTTTAGAAGCTAAACTAGTCCCAAGGTCCAGCTTCCAGATCCAACTTGTAATGAGAATGTCCACACTGAGCCAAGTCTGCAAATGGCATTTCCAGATCATACTGAACCAGCAATATCAAAACCTTCCATGATCCCTTCAGGAACAGACAGATTTAGAATTTTCAAGGTGGTATGCCTGTAGGGTACCTGTTCACTGACTTTTCATGAGATTTTATTGTGTGAAGAGTGAAGTCAACACCTTAAATGCACATCACAGACTTAATTTTGGAAATTGAATAAATGAAGAATATTTATAACTTAGATTGATGCACTTAAGAATTTAAAAGCCTGAACTATTTTGTCCTGGCTCCATCATTAACTGTCAATATAAATTTGGACAAGTCACTTAATATCCCAGTGCCAGGTTTATACCTGTAAAAAGAGAAAATTAGTTCAATGATTTTCTTTTTTTAAAGATACCTTCTGCCCTGGCCAGTCTGGCTTAGCGGTTGGAGTGTCGGCCTGTGGACCAAAGGGTGTGGGTTTGATTCCCAGTCAAGGGGCATGTACTTGGGTTATAGGTTTGATCTCCAGCCCTGCCTGGGGTTGTGCGGGAGGCAACCAATCATTGTGTCTCTCTCACATCAATGTTTCTCTCTTTCTCCTTTCCCTTCCACTCTATCTGAAAAGCAATGGAAAAAGATCTCAGGGTGAGGATTTAAAAAAAAGATACCTTCCAACTCTTAAAATATGTGTGATTCTGTGAACTTCAACTCAGAGAACTTTATTTTCAGCTCATGTATATTAGTTTCTATAATGGTATGGTTTCCTTGCATGCTGCCAACCAATGTTTAATTACAGCCAAACAAGTGTTTAATGAGTACCTATTACGTTCTGATGAGCTGTGGGGAGATATCACATAAATATGATATTTGATATTACAATATTTTTTTAGGATATGAATCCTAGTGTAGACTTTGCAATAACATTTAAGTGCTTCTTAGGTATATGGGGGCAGGGCAGTATGGGAAGATTCTAAAGAATGAGGAAAACCTAAAAAGAAAAAAAGCAACAACAAAGAATGAGGAAATCCTGTCTCAGTTAGCTTCCTGTCTAATATAAGGAAGAAAGAATACACAAATGTCAAGTGTTTTACTCATAATAAACACATATAAAATACATTGTAATGAAAATATAATTAACAAATTGACTGTCAAATATTATTTTACAAAAACAAAGCAAAACAAAAAACCCTTATATTACCCCAAATAGCAACATTTTTCATTGTGGCTAGTTTTAAAATATATAAAGTAACAAAAATTATTGATAATCCCACTCTTAAAATTCATGAGTTTACTTCTAGCTTTGTTTTTTATACATATTTAATGTATATTTTGTTTTACAAAAAGTGGGGTCATTATATGGTTGAATATTTAGGCGAACAATTTTTTAATAATATCCTGTAGTAAATATCTTTTTTTTAAATCCTCACTGGAGGACATTTTTCCATTCTTTGTTCAGATAGAGCGGGAGGGAGAGAGAGGAAAGAAGAGAGAGAAACATCGACGTGAAGGGACACATCGAGTTGTTGCCACCCGCATGACCCAACCAGGGCCGGGGACAAACTGCAACCAAGGTACATACCCTTAGCGGGAACCGAACCTGGGTCTCTCTGGACTGCAGGCCGACGCTCTAACCCCTGAGCCAAATCAGCCGGGGCCTGTAGTGAATATCTTTGTTTTGTTAATCCTCACCTGAGGATTTTTTTTTTTTTTCTATTTATTTTAGATAGAGTGGAAAGGAAGGAGGCAAGAAGGAGAGAGAGAACCATCGATGTGAGAGAGAGACATTGATTGGTTGCCTCCTGCATGGCCCAAACCAGGGCTGGGGATGGAACCTGCAACCCAAGTATGTGCCATTGACCGGGAATCCAACCCAAGACCTTTTGGTCCACAGGCCGACACTCTAACTGCTGAGCCAAACCAGCCAGAGCCCGTGGTAAATATCTTTAAACTTAAGTATTTGACCACATTTCTGATAAGCTCCTTAGAATAAACTTTTAGAAGAGTAATAATTAGTTGAAGCTTACAAACTTTCTAAAAATCTCTTGATATATACTGGCAAATTAACCTTCTGGAAGATTATACTCCTAAAATTAATGTAAAAGAATATCTACCAACCATTAATTTTTTTGTTTAACATTGAACAAAAACTGATTTTTAAGCCTAGCTGGTGTGGCTCTGGTTGAGCGTTGACCCAAGCACCAAGAGGTCGCCGGTTTGATTCCTGGTCAGGGCACATGCCCAGGTTGTGGGCCAAATCCCCAGTGGGGGGCATGCAGGAGGCGACCAGTCGATGTTCTCTCTCATCAATGTTTCTGTCTCTCTCTCCCTTTCCCTTCCTTTCTCTCTAAAATTAATAAAGAAAAATTAAAAAAACAAAAACTGATTTTTAAAACCCATCTAATGAATCAGTTCTCAAAATATTTGTTAAACTAGCCTTTATTTTGGTTAGTCTGTTTTAAATTGAGTCTATAAGAACTGACATGAGCCCTGGCTGGTGTGGCTCAGTTGGTTGGAGCATTGTCCTGTATGCTTGGAGCATTCTCCCATACACCGAATGAAACCCCGCTGCAGGTTCAATTCCGGGTCAGGGCACATGCTCAGGTTTCGTGCTCGATCACCAGTAAGGGGCATACAGAAGGCAGCCGATCTGTGTTTCTCACATCGGGGTTTCTATCTTCTTGCTCTAAAAAAATCAATTAAAAAACATTTAAAAAAAAAGAACTGACAGAGGAGAGCGCCGGCCATGGCGGTACCATGTTTCCTGTGGTGGCTACCCAGGAATCATTTGGCCCTTAGGGTGGTTCCTAGTGACCATGGCTTTTACCCTGTATTCACTGCAGCAGGCTGCCCTGCTCTGCGTCAATGCCATCGCATTTCCTCAAGAATGTTGGCTGGGGAACAGACCAGGGAATTGGCGATTTCGGAGAGGAGCCAGGAATTAAGTTTCAGCTAATGAATCTTATTCGATCTGTAAGAACTGTAATGAGGGTGCCATTGATAATAGTAGACTCAATTGCTTGCAATTGTATTACTTTTACTATTTGGGTGAAGAACAATGAGGGAAATGGAGACTCAGAAGAAGAGATTCCAGCAGAAGTTATTACTTTGGTCTTTTTTGGAATATATGCATCTTAGCTGGCTGTCCTTGGACTTGACAAAAATGTAAATGTGATGATGAAACCAGAGTCCCTGTTTATCTGATTTTTACAATGTTGCACTTAGTTTCATTACAAAAAGATCAGATCATCAGAGGCAGTTAACTGTCCAGGATTGGAATACATTTGATTGTTGACTGTTAATAAAAGTTCATGCAATGGTAAAGATTGTTCAAAGGGTGCAGAACTGTCACTTCCGTGTTTTTAGAGCTTTTTCTCTCACTTCTCAGGGATGAATTTTTTTTTTTTTTTTTTTTATCCTCACCGGAGGACATTTTTCCATTTTTTGTTCAGGTAGAGTGGGAGGGAGAGAGAGGAACAGAGAGAGAGAGAGAGACATCGACGCAAAAGGGACACATCGAGTGGCTGCCACCCGCACGACTGACCAGGGCCGGGGACAAATTGCAACCGAGGTACGTGCCCTTAGTGGGAACCGAACCCGGGTCTCTCTGGACCGCAGGCCGATGCTCTAACCGCTGAGCCAAACCGGCCAGGGCTTAAGATCAGGGGTTTTTTTTGTTTTGTTTTGTTTTGTTTTGGTACATGCCCCTAGCAGGAACCAAACCCGGGACTCTCTGGTCCAGAGTCCGCAGGCCGACATTCCAACCACTGAGCCAAACAGGCCAGGGCTTAAAAAACTTTTGAAGTTTCTTGTGACTTAGCTATGGATGCTCAGAGAGTGATTATCCTCCTAGATAAAATTAAAGGATTTTAAAACGTAATTGCTACATATAAAATGAAAAATAGGTAATTGGGATGATTGTATTTTGAACTCTAGTTAAATATTTTGTCTATATTGTCTTGGCTATGAAAAATTCGAATGTATAGCAGCTATTGAGGAGCAATACAATCTGACTTTAGGGAGAATTATAATTTTTTAAGTAAGATAGTCATATAGTGATTGTGTTTTTGTTTTAAATTCTTTTCATACATTTCTTATTTTAGTAATTGGCCTGAATGATGAGACCAGATCAGTATCTACATATTTTCATTGATAAGAAAAATTTGAGTAGCCCTGGCCGGTTTGGCTCAGCGGTTAGAGCGTCGGTCTGCGGTCCGGAGAGACCCGGGTTCGGTTCCTGCTAAGGGCACGTACTTCGGTTGCAGTTTGTCCCCGGCCCTGGTTGGTCGTGCGGGTGGCAGCCACTCGATGTGTCCCTTCACGTCGATGTTTCTCTCTCTCTCTCATTCCTCTCTCTCCCTCCCTCTCTATCTGTACAAAAAATGGAAAAATATCCTCGGGTGAGGATAAAAAAAAAAAAAAAAAAATTAAGTAGAAAAGTCTATGCCCTTTTTATAGTGATGACTTATTTTTGGAAATCAACATGAATATTAGCCTGAAAAAAAAAAAAAACTGACATGACATAAAATAATGGAGTGATGAAGTAGAATAAATCAGGTAGTTGATGATGAAGGAAAATACCAATTAGCATCCATATAT